TATCGGGAGTGCTTGAATAACTGATTTTAGGAGGACTTCCTTGCCAGTTTCCAATTCTGTAGTTTGCCTCTGATGGATGTCAGGATGTACTCAAAAGTCTTCTTTTTGGATCTGCCAATGTCTAGTGGCAGTCCTAAATATCTAGTGCATCTGTGAGAGACTATTGCATTCACAGTGTAGCAGATGCTGGATTGAAGACACTAGGGTGTATTCCTACTAAAGAAGATAGCAGATTTTTGGAGATTTACCTGTTGGCCAATAAAGAGTCTATACTTTTCTAGCAAATTCATTAAAATCCTGGCTTGATCAACCCTAGCTTTACAAAAGAACAAAGAGTCATTCGCAAAAAGGAAGTGAGAGATGTAGGGTCATTCTGTGAAAGCTTTAAACCCTTCAGCTGACCTTGGACAGAAGAATCCATGACCAGTGCAGATAATAATTCAGCAACAATAATAAATAGGTAAGAGGATAGAGGATCCCCTTGCCTAATCCCTTTAGTTGAGGTAACAAAGCCACAGACTTGCCCATTAACTTAAAGGAAATAGTAGATGTAGACACACATACCATAATTAGATGCACAAAATCTTTGTGGAAGCCCATTTGTGTTTAACTTTTTAATTCAAAATATACAAGAGTTTTTGAGAGAAATTATAAAATAACAAATTTAATATATTAGGAAATGACGGAAGTTACCAAAGTTTTTATCCCAATAAGAAGTGTATCATTTCACAACAAGAATTGAACCAAAAAGTATTTAACAAGTGAACCAAAAACAATATTACCACAAAAAAGTACCAAATACAAAAAATCTCACCATATTTGTAGTGCACCATTCGATTATAAGAGTCGACGTACTTTTATTTTATTTTAATTGCATTGCATTTATTTTTTTATATTGCTTGACAATTTTCTCGAATAAGCTTATTATGATTATTTAAATGTTCTCTTCTATTTAATCTAAGAAGTTAAATAATATTTTTAGATGTCTTCGTCTACTTAAATTATTTACAATTCTGTTAATTTCGTCAAATCGAAAAGTTGTTCGATTTTCCTAAGTTCGAGTGCAATCAACTTTGGGAATCCTTTTTAGCCGTTTTGTCCGAGCCTTGACCAAGAGATCCAAGAAATATATTTTTGGCCCTTCTATGATCATTTATCAGCCCATTTGTTACTCTTAAAAACCGGCCTTTATATTGGAAAAACCCGACCCATTAAAGTCTCTTTGGCAAAAAATGTTGTATTTCAAATTTCAAATAGGGAGCTTGTTTTTGGTAAGGAAGATCAACCAAACCCTTCCCTTACGGCCGGTCTCTTGACTCATTTTAGTTAGACTTGTCAAAACGGGCTGAGGCCCGCGGGCCGGCCCGCCCCGCCCCGCCGAAAGAGTGGGCCGGGCTGAAATTTTAGAGGCCCGCTAAAGAGAGGGCCTAAACGGGCCAGCCCGCGCGGGCCACGGGCTATGGCGGGGCGGGCCTGGCGGGCCGCGGGCTGGCCCCCTGTTTTTAAACATATATATATATATATTACCTATTTAGCCCAATACAAAATATAAAATCAGCCTGAAGCCCAATAGATAAACAAATGAAAAGGCCCATTTTCACTTTATTTTGAGGAATCGAGAAAGGGGCTTAACACTGAACAGGGAACATTCACAATTCTCAATTTCTCATCAACCCTCCATCTCCAATTATCTGTCTCCAGCCCTAATTTCACTTTACTTTTGATTTTTGAGGAAGCGACTGATTGTTCTTCCCGTAGGAGCGATACGTGGCTCCGTGGATATCCGCTTGGTGAGTTTGATTCTAAAGTGGTTTGCGGCAGCGGTGGCTTGTCACTGCTTCCTAATTCCTTGAGCAGGGTGAGAGTTAGGCGCTTAAAATTTTTTTAGGGATGAATGTTATTTAGGTGCTTCATATTTTTTAGGGATGGATGTTATTTAGGTGTTTCAAATTTTTTATGGATGGATGTTGTTTTCATTGGGGGAAGACGGTGGGGTCCACAGAGCCGGCCCAGGCCCAGAGCAGCCTGGGCTACGGCCCAGGGCCCAAATGAAATGAGGGGCACCATAACAACACTATACTACTATATATATGTATTGTATAATTTTGGGCCCAAATAATTGGAAATAAGGCCCAATTTCTAAGTCCACTGCTCTTAAGTCTATACACGTGACTCCCGTCTTCTTTTCCAAAATTCAAAAGCCAAATTTCAATCATCTCACTTCTGTCGAGATGGATTAAAACAATTGTAAATAAAAACCCTAAATTAATGAAGGCTCAACGAACAAGAAGGCTGATCTTTCTTCTCTAAATCTTGATCTTGCTCTCCGACTTATCATCTTCCCCAATCTATATCAGCCACTGTTTTTAAAAGCGCAGCTTAGCGCGCTACGTCGCGCGAAATAGGGCAAATCTCCTGAAAAACGCGTCATAGCGCCTGTAATTTAGGCAGTTCCAACATAACGTACGCCTTTGATGACGTGACACGCATTTTTTGGATAGCGTACGCGACTTTTGCGATGGCTGGCTTAAATTCTGCACGCTATTTGGGACCCTAAACAAATTGAAGGCAGAAAATTAAAAAAAAAAAAGAAAGAAGAACAAAATTGAAGGCGACGAAAATCACAATCAGAAACTCAGAAAGCAGAATTCACGAAACCCTCATTTCACTTCTCTTCATCATCTCCCTCTCGGCCTCTCCACCGCAGCCTCCAAGGATCCACCACATCCCAGCTCTCTTCATCATTTCACTTCTCACATCCTCTGTTTCCTCGACTCTCGTCTCTCGCTCTCGCCTTTCGCCCAGCTCTCGGCACCCCCAAAGTCCCTTCTCCTCGGCTCTTTGTACCCTACATCCCTTGCACGGTTGCACCTCGACTTTCAACTCCAAAGGTATCATTTTGTTTTTCATTTGAGATTATTAATAGCTTCAGTGAATGATTTCGTTTTCTCGCTCTCGCCTTTCATTTTGTTTTTTTTTTTTTTTGAAGCTGCTTCACAGAACATGAATTGAAATTGGCCCTCTTCTAGTGAATTATTTCGATTTTTTTTTTAAATTAGAGTGAGATAAAAGGATTGATGGAGATTGATGTTTGATTGCATTTTTTTTATGTGTATTTTTCGATTTTTTTTTTTTTAAATTAGAGTGAGATATAAAGATTGATGGAGATTGATGTTTGATTGCATTTTTTTTATGTGTATTTGCCTATTTGCTGATTGGATCTGGCTATTTTTTTTAATGATTCAGAGTATATAGAAGACTAGAAGTATAGAACAGATCTATTTAATTTGATGATTCTATTGTAGTTGAATTGTGTCCTGATTCTTGAATATCTGAGTATGGAACATATAAGACATAAATGAATTGTGTCCTGAATTATTTCCATTTGGTAATGGAACATCAGTGAGGTATTTAAAGAAGTATGCAGTTGTTTTTTATTAGAATGATTGATTAAATGTTTCTAAACTTAAATTACTAGTTTGTTTATTATTAAGGTTAAGAAAATGGATCCAAACATAACTGAATAGATGAAGAGATTACTGTTTTGTTGTGATTACTGTTCTTATTACAGTCAAATAATGAATTGGATGAGGCCAATTATTTTTAGATTTTGAGTCTTTACTTTGAAGATTATGACTTTGGGTTGTTGTATGAACTAATATTTGAATGTTGTTTTTTAGATTTAATGTCTAACTTTATGGTTTAAGACTATTTTAATTATTTATTTACTTGTATGGTTATATATATTATTATTTTTGGCATTTAAAGTGAACTGCTTGAATAGCTTACGCAATGCGCTACGCTATTTACGCTACGCAATATCAGGACCAAAACGCAACGCGATGCGCTATGCGCGTTTTAAAACACTGATATCAGCATATATCTCTCATTCCAAAATTTCAACGGTAATATTAATTAATTTTATAGATTATAAATGGCATTTTCAATCTTTGTTTTCCATATGCAACTTCAGTCTCTCTTTTTTTCTCTATTTCATCTGCTTCAAATCATTAATCACTCATCAGCGAAATTGTTACTTCCAACAATTTTAAAGATCCAGATATTTTGAGTCTTTTCTTTATTTTGGGGAAAATTGATCAATTAAAATCCTTGAGCTAAATTATAGCATAATTTTGGCCCTATGCGGCTGTGCCTGTCGATTTCTGGGAGTGACAGCACTTGTTTGTTAAGTTGCTTCCATTGTTATTGACTTAGTGTTATTCTTGTAAAAAGGTACTGACTACTTAGATGTGTTTGGAATTTGGATTTGTGCTTTCATGTTTTTTCAATTTATTTTTTTAATTTTATTATGCGTATCGTGTTTAAAGTTTTTTTATCCTTGGTTTTCTGGAGATTGGTTTGTTATTCAGCATTGGAAAGTATTAAAATAAATACTCATATCAATTCGGTACAGACTATCTATCTACATTACTGCTTGAAAGAACTACATTATCGTAAAATGAATGTATTGACATACAAATAGGATAGTACCCCATATACTGTTTTTGGCTTTTTGATATGTCATTTGCTGAAATTTGGATTTGTCGTTTGTGTTTAGTACTTAATCTATTGTTTTTCACCATAGGTTTTGGAGTTACATCATATATTGAATTACTGTCAACAAAAATCTCTACCTTGTTACAGTATTTTATAAATTGTAATTTTATTTTATTTTAATAAAAAGAATATTGGATCGTTGTTAGCATTATTAAAAATATATTGTTTTTATTTCTAAAAAAAGTACTTGGGGCATTATTTTTATATTTGGCCCAGGGCCTTGATAATTTTTAGGACCGGCTCTGGGTGGGGACATGAAGAACGAGGAAGAAGACGAGGACAGTTAAATTGTTGATGCTTTTTTTTTTCTCTCTTTTTTGNTTGATTTGGATTATGTTGGTATGGCTCATATATTGACAAAGGAAGGATGCACGCACGGACTCGGGTTTGCTTGGTGCTCGTGCGTGCTTGTTCCAGCGCGTCTAGTCTCTACGCTCACACACCTATGTCTCGCGCGGCATTTCCACGCACGAGCTCCCCTCGCGCGTATTCGTCCCTTTACTCGAGGCTCGTGTCGTCTAGCTCGAACCATATCTGCGTGCATCCTTCCTTTGTCAATATATGAGCCATACCAACATAATTCAAATCAAAATTAGTTGAATTATATTTTGGCAAAACAAACAATAATAAAAATTAATGTAACTTCACAAATCTCAATCTATAATACCTGCGAAGAAGCCAAAATATATTAGTTATAAAGTCCATTGTCGCGTGCAGCTACCTTTCTACAAACCCTCACCATTGTTTCTCTTATTTTTCTTTTCTTTCTATTTTTTTTCCCTTATATGTTTGTTCTCCAAATTCGCCGCTTTTTGATTCTCAGGTAAATTGGAATACACAAAAATCGCAGTTTTTTGTTGTATAAATTGCATCAGTTGATTCAGTTAGCCCTTTTTATGTTTTGTTTCTTAGGTGAAAATGGAACCTATGGACATCGTTGGTAGAACAAAAGAGGATGCCTCGCTTCCAAAAGGTTATTTCTATCCCACCTCTCTTCCAGTTGTTTTGCCTCCCTTCTTTTTTTTTTCTTTTTCCTATTCCTTTTATCAAATAGTATGAGATCTGTAGCTGTGCTTCCAAAATTTACAGTGGGCTAAGGCATTGAGTGATGTGGAGAGATTGAAGTGATTTGAAACATCTTGAGATGGTGATTATTATTTAAAAAGAGGTTTTCATGACTGGAAGGATATTGAGGGGTTGATTATTGTGTTATATCTTATTGGATTCGTCTGTCTGATATGTAGATGCTCTCTGTGGTTTGGTAGAACAAATCGATAATGAAAGTTTGTGGATAAGGAGAGTAGGAAAACGTATACGAAATTTTTGCCCACATGTATAAATGTGAAGATAGGAACTTGCTTTTACGAAGGGAGAAATCTTCATGTATGTTTGTCATTCATATTAAATCATGGGTTCTGTCAGTTTTTAGGATTTGGCCACCTAAATTCTCGAAGTAGCTGTATCAACAAGAAGTAGATATTCTGAGCACTAATGTTGGGCAATAAGTTTGCAACTTTTTTTGTTCAGCGACCTGAGTCAGAAACTTAGAATAGACATTGCTGAACTCCAACTCATCACGCAAATTCTTTATTGACTTCTTAGGTTTTCATCATTAGTTGACGTTATGTGATAAGTTATGCAATGAAAAAAAGAGTTGAATTATAATTTTCAACTATCTATTACTCCCTGTATTACTGAAGGCTTTCGTAGCCTCTTCTTTTTGTTTTCTAACCAACTTAATTACTGTACGTGGATTAAAGCATTCAAATTACAATTTTTCTCCTTTCAGCGACTATGACAAAAATCATCAAGGAGATGCTCCCTCCAGATGTTCGTGTTGCAAGAGATACTCAAGACCTTCTAATAGAGTGTTGTGTAGGTATGTCATTTGGCCTTTTTTCCCCCCTTCCATAACATATTTGATATTTACCATTGTCTAACCTTATAATTGGATTAAGTTTGGCAATTGCCTGCTGTAGAACTGCAGCTCTATTCTTCCATCTTTTTGTGTTGGTGTGCACATTAGTCAATTGGACTGTTTTTGGATACTTGGAGTCCATGACGTTTAACCATAAACTATGGTGAAACCTAGAAAACAGAAATGTCTCTCCAAATAGTTACGTACAATGTTTAACAGTTAAATAGTTAATACTTGTATTCGATTTTCCCTAAGAGTAATATTACCAGTATATCAATTTCATATGCAAGGCTTATACAAAACTTTCTCCTGTTAGGAGAATGAGAGAGTCATTATGCACCAAGACTAGTGTGTCCAGTCGAGGATGTAATATATGAAAGTACTACACATTAAACATATATGATTGATAATTATATTTGGGAGACAGTATATTTATTAGAGGAAGAGTGCCCTATTCGAAGCATTAAGCACCTGTTTTTCTTCTTCTTGAACTTTCCCTTTTCTTGATCATTGATAAAGTTAATGTGGTGGCTTGTTAGGGGTTGATGTTGTTAACCTGAATGATTGTAGTATGTATAGTTATCTGATGAAATTTTTTTTTATTGGTATTTCATTTCTGTTTCACTTGTTGCTGTATCTTTTCAGTTTCTAACGAGGGGACTTCCAGTTCAATACTCGATGGCTTATTGTTTTTTCTTTCTCTTTATGTTTCAGAATTTATCAATCTGATTTCATCAGAATCCAATGAAGTCTGTAACAGGGAAGACAGAAAAACAATTGCTCCAGAACATGTCCTCAAGGCCTTAGAGGTCTGCTTTCTCCACTCTATAATTTCTTATGTTTCCCTTTTGTTAAACTGGGTTCAAGAAATTTAGTTTCATTATATTTTTTCATGGGCTTTTGTTGAATTCCATGATTATAAATAATTTTTTTTTTGTACTTTGTAATGTTCCTGGAATTGTTCGTATATTTTGTTATAGTTCTTATTCTCTTGAACACTTCTATTAATTGCTCACACTACTTGCATAACAATTTTGGATCCTCAGCTGAGTGTGTTGTGCTGATCACAAACTATTTTAGGTCATTGTTTTTTTCTCTTCATGTTATAATCCTCTCAAAGCATTGTTTTTGAGCATATGAAAAAATCTTTGACGTTCTACGATCTTGGACTAGTTATCCATACACTTCTCACAATATTTGTGGTTAATGCAATATTTTAATGCTGTGTCAATTTTATGTACATTATTGCATTAAGGTTGTGTTTTAAAGGACCTGAACTATTTTTCTCGTTGAAACAATCCTGTGCGGAGATAGCTTCAACTGTTGGCAAACCATAGAGGTTGTTTCGATAGTCTGGAAAAGGCGAATAGCATAAAACATACGTTTGACTTGAGCCATCTTATGTGTGAGTAGCACATGCAGTTGGAGTGACATTTCAGTCCAACTGTATAAAATTTTCTGTTTATTTATTTTATCTTGTGACATTTCACTAATAACAGTGATGGACCATGTGTTCAATTCTGGTTTCATGGAAAAACATGAGTGTCGGTTCGTTATGGTTAAGTTGATGAGATCCCCTATGGTGCTTAAATATTTCTAAAAAAAAAAGAAAAAAAGGTTTTTCTATATTTGTCCGCCTTAATAATCTTTTAAACCATCATCAATTAAATCTTGTATTCTTTTCTCCTTTTTTGCTTTGCTGAATTTGACAAGTATTCGGGCCAGAATAAGAATTGTTTAACTACCTTTTGGATGGTATTGGCAAAATTTTTTCATCTATCCTGAAGTCAATTACAACTACGTACAAACTAATACGTATTCTCTTTTCTTGCCCGACTTCCTGTCGTGTTTGTCCATGCAATGGAACTTAATTTTTCCGGTCGTGATCAATCAGGTTCTTGGATTTTCGGAGTATATTGAAGAAGTATATGCTGCATATGAGCAGCACAGGCTGGAGACCATGGTAAACTGGACATTTTTTTTTTCTTTTCTTCTTGGTTCTTAGGCTATCGTAGTCTCTTTACATGTTTTCACAAGCTTTGATTAGGCATAATGGTCGTACTAAGGCTATGGTTGGTAACTAAGTAAGCTAGCTTCTAACTTATTTGTTTAGCTTATAAGCTTCTTGTATTCAAATAAGCCTCGTTTGGTTAACCAAACGAATTTTTTTTTAAATTTCGAGCTTATTTCATAAGCTTCTTTAGGTAGCTTTTCAAATAAGTCAAGTTGAATTTTTTATTTCAGCTAGCTTATCAGCTAATTTTACTAAACACTATAAGCTAGCTTTTCAGTTATAAGTCATGTTTATAAGATATAAGCTCGAAAATTACATATAACCCATAAGCTATCAGCTTATCAGCTAGTTTTACCAAACATAACCTAAATATTTGTGGCGGAACCTTTCTTTTTTTTTTTTGTCCTTGTTTTTAATAAATTTTGTACAGGACACAATGAGAGGCGGAAAATGGAGCAACGTAGCGGAGATGACGGAAGAGGAAGCACTTGCGGAGCAGCAAAAGATGTTTGCAGAGGCTCGTGCGAGGATGAATGGTGGGCCCTCTGCCCCAAACCCCAAGCAGCCAACAGAGCCCCCGAACCAGCCAACACCCAATGCCTAACTACATTAAGGTTCCCTTAGCTGGTTTAGCATAAGCATACACTTTTTACTGACTCCAGTTTGGTTTTTCTTTTCCTTATGTTTTATACAAAGTAACTCGTTGAGCTCGTGGCTTTTGTTTAACTTTGATGGATTTCGTTGTGTCTCCCTCTGTCTCTTAACTATGTATCCATGTTTGTAGTTAATGGTTTTCTCTCGACGTCGCGTATGTGTTGTATTATTTCATGTATAATCTTTCATCCTCGTTTTATGAGTGGATACAATTTTTTTTTTTTCTTTCCCGTATATTGGCTGAGTTTGTTGTTACGATGTTTTTTTTTTTCTTCAAAAAAGGGTTTTAAAATTTCGTCGTTTAGTAAAAATCAATGACCATAGTACAATTATCACCGTACATACAACTGGTGACCTTGCAACTTTGATTGAAAAATGGCTGAATTAGGCTATTTTTTGTTTTCTGAATATTTTTCTTTATAAAATTCAACTTCTATTTACTTCAACTTTTTAAATTAAAATATATTAAAGTTGATGATAGAAATTATAAAATAATAAATTTACTCATTATAGAAAATGATGGAAGTTACCAAAGTTTGTATCCAAATAAGAAAAAGAACAATGTTATAATACAAATGAGAGTCCCTGCTAAATCGAAAAACATAAAACATGATAGGCACACAACAAGTGGCCCAGAACCTCAACAAGAACACAAAGAACCTGGCATAAGAAAACTATGAGCCTTCCAACTGCTTAAATAGCTTAGCTAGACTCAATAGCTCCATACAGAGAAACTGAACTAAGATCAAAACAAGACAAAGGAACAGAAAAATAAAACACTAAGCTACACTGGTGAAGTCCATCCAATCGTTCTGTGCTGCCTTGATGATTATGTGCACTGGGAGCAAGGTGTTTTAAAGATCCAAAGGTTCCTGGATTTCTAGAGCCACCAAAGTAGGTATGTGGATAGCTGGATCCTTGCTTCAGACACATCAGAGTGGTTAAGAGACCAAACACTCTGCCACCATGCTCTGAAGGAGTTGGTGTAATATCCCATTCAGTAATTAATAAAAGTAATTATTTTAGTTCTAAGTTTGAACTAATTACTTTTATTAATAATGCTCGTTCCTAGTTTCGAGCCCAGTTATTAAGTTATTCAGTTAAAAGTTCGACTTTAAGTTGAAAGTATTCTCGGTTAAATTTTATTTAGTAATCGAGCCAGTTCAGTAATTAATTAATTCCGGTCTGTTTATTTTTATAAATGGATTTATAAGATGGGATTAATTATAATAAGATGACGAATAATAAAAATCGAGTATATTTTGATTACTCGTTCAAGATAAGTCGTGAACCGAACCAAGCATGTTCGGTTACGAGTTAAGATTATTACCGAGCAAATGATTCTCGAGCCTAGCTTAGTTTTGAGTATTGATCAAGTTATAAGGATTAATTAGACATTAATGTTTATTGAATTGAAATAAGTTATTTAAGATGAAGTTCAAGTTCAAGTAACATTCCATTTTATTTAGCTAAATGGATGTAAATTTGGCCATTTCTAGTTTGAATGAGAAAGAAAAAGAATAATGAGTCGAGACAAGTTAGGTCTTGAGTTCGGTTAAGTATCCATGAACATTTAAGTTATAAATGTTCAAAGAAGTGAGAAAATTTATTTAGACATTTTAGTCTATTTAAATTATTAGAGAGAAATATGAAATTTTTAGAATTTTCGTTTTTTTCGGTTTTCGATTGTAGTCGGAATATATGTCCGATTTCAGTTCCGAGAAATAAATTAAATTATTTTCTCTCTATATTTTTAGTAGACTACAAGATAAGAAAAATTTTTCAGCATAAAAAGGAAAAATGCCAAAAGAAAAGAAGGAAATTCGAAAATTGTAAGAATTTTCGATTTTACGGTAACTGTTCGTTTTAAGTCAGAATTTGGTTCCGTAAATTGGAGAATTTTCACTAAATCTCGAATTTAATCATTGAGATCAGATTAGGATCAGAAGAGGGGCCTTTCTAAGCATTGACTATGGGTTGGAGAAGTTTACAAGTTAAGAATACTATTTATTATCTATATTTATTTTTACAAGTTTGTATTGTTTATTTTGTTAATTTCTTCACTCAATTATGATGTCTTGCAAATTGTGCCTATAAATAGAGGCCTAAAAATCAGAGTTTATGCACCAAAGTTAAGTACCAAAAGTTATATAAGAGTGTAAGAGAGATAAGTAGTAGAAACTTTGGAGAAGTGAAGAATTTGAAGTAAAGAATCAAGTTTTTATTCTAGCAAGAAGGAGGTAATTTACTTATCTTAAAGTTACATGCTTAAGTTCATGTTTTGATAATAAGTTTACATGTTTATAAGTATGTATATCATGATATAGAAGTTAAGTTTATAATTGATTCTATGAATATAAAGAGTTAAAGTTGTTCAAGATCAATTATATGATATATGTACTTGATTTGATGAGATGTTGATAAAGATATGAATAAGCTGGAAGAGTATGATTTAAATGAATGATTATTATGTAAAAGAGGAGTACATGAAAACAAGAATTAAGAGATTTGGCAAAATATAGCTTGAGTTATGAATTTTTAAAGATGAACATGTAAGATGAAGTTTATGTTCACTATTGAATTTAAATTCTCATAACTTGATGAATATGCATGATAAAATTATGAAATTTTGAGGACATGTCTAATTATAAGTTGAGATTATGACTGTTAAGTTTCATAATTTAAAGATGAGAAATGAATAAGTTATGAATATAAGAAGGCATATATCTAAAGATAAGTATATATGCAAGAATATTCATGAAATGTTTAAGTTGTTAAAATGAGATGATCATGAATAATTCTCATATAAGTGATGAGTAATTTGATGATGTTTTGGTGTAATATGTTGAGTATACAATTTTATAAAGATTGTATTATGTATGATATATTAACATCATGATTAAATGTTATGAGTAAAAGATGATATGGCTTGAGATTATTTTCACTTTCAAGTTAATTAAGTGAAAATTTAGTATAAGCCAATTTGGAGATATGATGAATGATGAATTAAGTATTTGATTGAGTAAAAGATCAAATTAAGTTAAGATAAGTTTATAAATCATGTTGATGATGTTGGTAAAAGTAAGCATATTTTAAGTTTAAATCAAGTATAATGTGAAATATAGTTATTTTCACATTTGAGTTATGACATGCTAAGTATAATACCATATTAATGTTTATGAAGACATGATTTATACAAGGTTAAGTAATTGACCTTAAGTATAAATAAAAAGAGAAGTTAAGTATAAACTTGAGAAAAAGCAAGTTTAATGAATTTCTATAAGATTTGGATAAGTTAAAAATCCTAAAAATCTTATTGAGTATATGAGCATAGTACTTAGTATATTTGTCTATATTTGATGTAACTTGCAGATACAGTACCAGTACAGCACTTATCGTTTTTCAAATGATTTCAAAGACAAAAAGGTGGGGACCCTGAATGGGTATCACGTTGAGTACGATATTGATGTCATATGGGATGAGGAGACCATCAGTTGTCTTAGAGTATATCCTAAAGTTTAAGTTTATTACGCTTGGGATGAGGAAGCGTTAATTTGTTCTCAGAGATTATATCCTAAGTTCTGATGGAGGCCGTTAGGTGCCTTAGAAATATCCATCAGAGTGTGCACACGTATCCGATTAACTATCGGCAAGATAAGAGAAAAGTTTAAGTTACCGATCAGATATCGGTTTATGATTATCCATATTCGTTACTCACCCCCATGAGTTTTAGTTTCAGGTAACAGGTCGAAGAGGAGGTGTGAGTGGAGCAGTGTTCGTGTGGATAGTGGACTCAGATGAAGACAAGCTTTGATATGGACATTTATAACAGTCTGTATAATTAACCACGTTTTCAAGTATTTCCGCTATGCACATTAAGTATTGAACTTGCATTTTAATGAATTTCATATTTCAAGTTTTTACCATTATGAGAAATATGATTATGGTATTTTAAATGCAAGTTTAAAGGAAATCTGTTTTAATTATGTATAAAGAAGTATTAGACAAAAGTTTAAAGATAAACGGATTATCAAGATGATGAGTTTGAGTAGCATCCCGAGTTAGTCGCAAAAGATTTCGAAAGAATTAAGTATATTCGAAGTAAAAGTTGCGAAAAGTTTACTTATCATTTTACTCTGATAAGCGGGGTGTTACAGTTGGTATAGCTGCTAAGTCCATCCCATTGAACTGGAGCCTTCTCCCACATTCTGCAAGCTCTGGCACGGAAAACATGACATGTTCAACAGTTTTAGGGCCTTCTCCACAAATCGAGCACATGATGTCAATGGCCAGGCCTTTCTTCACTAGGTGAGCAGCTACAGGTAGTGTTCCAGATAAACACTTCCATAAGAAATGCTAAACCTTACCAAAGATTTTCAAGTGCCAACCCGTGTAAATGATTGGTTTACTCCTGGAAGTGTGAGAACTACACGCTGGCATATCAAGTTTCAAGAGTTTTGAGTGGAAAGATAAGAATAGGTACTGGCCACTGAGAAATGGCCTTTCTTTTCCAGCCTCCAGTACATCTTGTCAGCTCTTTCATTGTTGAGGGATTTGATATTGAAAATAGCCTCAGTGTCTGATTCATCAAACACTTGCCTAATCAACTATTTATTCCAGTCCTTGCCATCTGCCTGCATTAAATCCTTGACCTAGATCAAGTGTCCTCTTGCAATGTCAAGCTACTTCGGTGTGGCTTAGAAAGCTTTGGAACCCAGTTCAAATCTTCAATTTTTGTGTTGACTCCACTTCTAATTTCAATTTTCAACCGTTTTGCAAAAAACAGGTAACACATCTGTCCAACTATTCCACATCCATGATCCTTTTTTAGACTTAACAACTTCAAAGAGGGAACAATGACAAAAATACCTGTCTTTGAGGATTCTTCTCACAAGCAGATCTGGTTTGGTTGCAATTCCCCAAAGTTGCTTGCAAATGAAAGCTTCATTAAAGAGCCTGGTATCATGAAAGCCAAGGCCACCATTCATTTCAAGAAGTGAAACCAGGTTCCAGCTCCTCCGCTCCCCTGTTTTCCACCAGAATTGAGCACATAGCTTGGAAACTTCATTACTATGAGTGATGGAAAGCTGAAAACAGGACAGAGAAAATATCGGGAGTGCTTGAATAACTGATTTTAGGAGGACTTCCTTGCCAGTTTCCAATTCTGTAGTTTGCCTCTGATGGATGTCAGGATGTACTCAAAAGTCTCCTTTTTGGATCTGCCAATGTCTAGTGGCAGTCCTAAATATCTAGTGC